GTGATGTTGTTGATGTTGGGTTAAATTTACCGAGACGTCGACTTTGAACGGTGACGATGAGACTTTGCACGGTTCGTATCCGTACGGACCGCCGGTCTTTTTGCTGTCCTTCTTATTTTTGTTGTTATTATTCTTTTTATTTACGCTGCTTTTGTTGATTATGACGTCATCGACCAATTTATCATTGCCTTGTCCGGTCAGCTGATTTTTGTATTTGAATAATGCGAGAGCTAATACCAGTAGCAGTACCGCAATACCGAACGCGATACCGAGAATTAAACCAATATTTATCGTCAGTTTTTCGAACGATCGGTTTACGCTCATGTTGTTGTTGTTGTTGTTGTTTATGTTGTTGTTGTTGTTTTGTTTGTACATCTCATATACGTTGCTAGTGCCGTTATGGTAATGTTGTTGTTGTTGTAGCTGTTGTTGTTGTTTTTGATGTTTTGGTTTTTTATGCTGAGCTGTGGTGTTAAGTTTTGATGATGATGATAGTTTCACGACCGCACCGTCATCATCATCATCGTCATCATGGCCGCCAGCACTTTCACTGATATCATCATCATCACCATTATTATCATTATTATCAGCATTTCCATCATCATCGTCGTCGTCGTCATCACCATTTTTAGTCACAGGTCTTTGAGTGGTGCTGCCTTTTGCAAGACCCCCTTTGTGCACCTTACCTTTATTCGCATTCTTTCTTTTGCCGACATCATCATCATCACCGCCCCTGATGTCATCATCATCATCATTATCATCATCATTTTTACCATCAACTCCCACATCGTTATCGTCATCATCACCTCCACCGTCATCATCGTCATCGTTACCAATATTATTATAAGTCTGAAGTTTGATGTTTGAAGATGACGATGACGACGATGGTGATGATGACGATTTTTTCTTGCCAGTTTTGTTCCTATCATCATCATCATCATCATTGTCGACGTCATTATCACGTGATGATGACTTCGAAAAACCGGAAGTTGAGTTGGCAGTAGCCGGGTCGGCTTCGAGGTCAGTGTCAATTTCGCCAGAGGCGAAATTGACGCAATCTTCGTCATCCGCTAAGGAACAGGGTGTGGTATCTATTTCCGGTGCATCGCCGGAAGTTGTGACGTCATCATTATTGTCGTTGTCGTTGCTGTTGTGTGGATGTCTTTGGCGGCTGGATGACGATGTTGTAGATGAAAATAGGGACTCCCGGATCTCGCTTTTGAAGTGAGGGATGATGTTATAATTAAATCATCATCGTCATCGTCGTCGTCATCATCAAGGTTATCATAATTATTAATATTCTCCTCATTATCATCATCTTCATCATTCTCATCATCAGCGTCATCATGATGGAAAAAAAACAACTTCTTTATCATCATTCTCATCGTCATCCTCATCTTCATCATCTTTTTCATCATTTTCATAATCATCATCATCATCATCTTCATCATCAGCGTCATCCGGATGGAAAAGAACAACTACATCATCATTATTATCGTCAAGGACATCACCACCATCCCCATCATCATTCTCATCATCCTCATCATCCTCATCATCATCTTCATCACCGTCATCTTTTGTAATAGTAACAAATACGTCATCATCACTGAAACACATTAAAACATTCATCAACATTTATTGCGGCCTCTCTAATTGCAATCGATCATTCATTCTTCCTTTCTTTCATCTTCGCCTTCATTATTATAATCATCATCATCATCGTCGTCGTCATCGTCATCATCACCATCATCATTGTCATCATCATCATCACCACCATTGTTATCATCATCATCATCGACGTCGTCGTCATCATCATTTTCATGCCTCTGTTTTTTCATCTCGGCATATTTGTCGAAATGTTGATGGTTATCGTATCATCATCATCTTCTTCTTCATCATCAATAAATATAATAATAATAACAATAATAACATCGTCATCATTACCTGCTGCTCATATCACGTGGTCTCGTTGTGGCCACCAGAATATCGTCCGTGCCCTTGACCTCTGGGCAGTCAAGGTCATTCGGGGTCAGACATGCAGAGGTGGTGGGTTGAGCTATTATTAGATCGTCTGCGGCTGACGTCGTCTGGTGTCTATCGCCGTTGTCGTTGTTGTTGGGTAGAAGTTTGTGGTGCTGCTGTGGTTGGTGTGGTCGCTTCAGATATTTCTGCGATCGAGTTTTTTTTTTTTTTTTAGGGGTTGGGTGGGGTTATATTGATTGGTTTTGTTAGGAGTTTGTTTTTGTGTGTGTGTCTGACGATGACAATGATAATAATAATAATGATAAATAATAATAATAATAATATCATAATAAATGATAATAATAATAAGAATAATGACGATGACGACGATGATAATGATAGCGACCTGTGAATTTCAAATTCATCCTAACCGTTTATCCATCTATCCATCTTGACATTGTGCCGGGACACGCTCCAAACTATTTTAATACCGCTATCACTGCTACTACTACTACTACTGCTGCTGCTACTACTACTACTGCTACTACTACTACTGCTGCTGCTACTACCACTACAAATACTACTACTACTACTACTATTCATATTACGCTACTATTACTACTACTGCTGCTGCAAAAACTGCTACTATTGCAACAGAAATGGTAGTTATAGTAAAAATCACGGTAGTAGTAGTAGTATTAGCAGCAGTAATAGTAGTAGCAGTAGTAGTAGCAGTAGTAGTAGAAGTAGTGGCAGCAGTAGTAGTAGCAGTTGTGGCAATTACTATGTGGTAACGATCACTCGATACGAGAAGAAATAATTAGGCGTTATAATTGGGGATGCATTTCATGCATCCGTAAATACAATCGTACGTTTGTATATTTGTTTGTATCTTCGATGTTTGTATGTATGTATGTTTATTTGTATTTTGGTTTTGTATGTTTAATTTTATGCATTATGTTTATGCGTGTGTGTATGTATGTATATATGCATTATGAAGGAATGAAGTATGAGCGTATATTCTATGTTTGTATGTATGTTTATTTGTATTTTGATTTTGTATGTTTAATTTTATGCATTATGTTTATGCGTGTGTGTATGTATGTATATATGCATTATGAAGGAATGAAGTATGAGCGTATATTAGTATGTAAATTTGTTTTTGTTCGAAGGTTTCTCTCTCTCTCTCTCTCTCTCTCTCTCTCTTTCTCTCTCTCTCTCTCTCTCTCTGCGTGGTCTATGCGTGCGTGTGTGTATGAATAAAAGTGTAGTGTTAGTTGCTGTAAGCAGTAAGAGTGCTACAAGAAAATATTTTTTAAAAATTTAATTCATTCATTCTCATCTTTCATCTCTCTCTCCCTCTCTCTTTTTTCTCTCTACTTTTCCCTCTCTCTTTCTTTTTTTTATCACGTACAAATTTTTCATCATTCTTTCTATATTATTATTTCATCTTAGTTGTTATTTAATGCAATCAACTCACCTGACCAGCTGAAATGTTGTTCAGAAACAATACTGCTGTCGTCACTAAGGACACTAAATATAAGCCGGAAGTTGAATGTGACGTCATTGTATACGTTTTGTTGTAGTTGTTGTTGTCGTGGTTGTTAGTGGTGCTGTTGTATATAATGTTGTTGTTGTTGTTTTTGTGGTTGTTGTTGTATACGCAGTTGTGAATGGTGGCATGCTGTTGATGTTGCTATTATTATTATTGTTATTGCTATTATTATTATTATTATTATTATGACTATTATTATTATTATTATTATTATTATTATTATGATTACTATTATTACTGCTTTTATATGTATGTATCTATGGGCATTTATTTATCTCCATATATGCTTTATCCATTGCAAAATGAAGTTTAGATGAAAAATTAAGTAATCATATTATTATATAAGGTAGTTATTAAAACTAACGTATTAATAATAATAACAATACGCACACACACATACACACACATATACACACACATACTGTATACTGTATGTATATATATGTATATAGTATTGTACGTATTCTACCGAATTGCTGGCATTAATCAATTTAATTAAGTTTGTCATTTCAATTATCCTTAATTGAATTTTCTCAAAAATGTTTTTTTTGAACATGTCTGAGTGAAAAACATTGCAGATGATAAAACCAATTGTGTCATGGATGGGACAAGTCTGAGCAAGGATTAAACATCCAGAGAAACAATATGGTTTGATGGTTTTTTTTAGTGTTGAAGAGATTGATGAAATGCACTGATGACTGGAGAATATAGTTATTTAAAATGCATGTTGAAAAGACGAACTTTTAGTTGATTAATGCCAACAATTCAGTAGAATTCATACAATACTGCATACAATATGGTCTACCACAAAAAACATATATATATATATATATATTTTATATATAAATATATATATACAAATGTCTAAAAAAACAAAAAAAATACAACTTATTAAAACGTTTCTCTAATGAGAAAAGACGGCAAGATGCATGTTTTTGTATGTCTTTGTGGAAAACCAGCCGTTCATATGCATGTATACATATATACAAACATACGTACATGCCTGCATACATACATACATACATACATACATGCGGCGCTTAACCAACAACGAAAACAAAGAAGTAATAAAAACTAGCATCGTAAATAGTGACAAAGAAGAATATGATGCTATCGATGAAGAAAAGGAGACCAAAGAAGATGACCAGCCAATTAAGAAACCTGACACCTAATTCGCATCAAAGTTCAATTTTACAACACCAAAGTTAATTTTTACAACGTCAAAGTTAATCTTGACAAAGTCAATATTTCCCTATATATACAGCAAGGAGCACTGACGATGATTCATTCGGAATCGAAATATGGCCTTATTTGCAGCATGAATTCGAAAAATAAGTTTATTTTGAATTTTAATAAACTAAACGTTCACCAAAAAAACTTTAGTGAGAAAAATCGAAAAAACGAACTACAAACATATTAACGCCAAACATTCGGTAGAATTTATAGAATATTGTAAAAATTATGGTCTATTACCAACATATATATATATATATATACATACATACATACATGCATGCATGCATACATACATACATACATACATACATACAAACGTACATACATACATACATACATACATACATACATACATACATAAATACATACATACATACATACATACATACATATATATATATATATATATATATATATATATATATACATACATACATGCATGCATACATACATACATACATATATATATATATATATACATACATACATGCATACATACATATATATATATATACATACATACATACATACATACATACATACATACATACATACATACATAAATACAGACATACATACACGGTAGGATGTATCATTTCCAGTTAGAGAGAGATATTGATGGATAGGGAGAGTGTTGGATTAAAGGTTGGTTGGTTTTTGTCGTTGAGGTTGTTGTTGTTACGATGCTGTTGTTGTTTATGTTGTTGTTGTTGATGTTGTTGTTGATATTGTTGTTGATGTTGTTGTTGATGTTGTTGCTGATGTTGTTGTTGATGTTGTTGTTGATGATGTTGCACAAGCAACAGCAACAACATCGACACACTTACGAAAACAGAATGAATATAACTCATAAATGGAAAACAAAGAACAATAACAGCAACAACAACAACAACAACATAAACAACAACCACAGCATAAACAACAACGACAGCTATGAAATGTAGGGTCACACACGCTGATTTTATCACTATAAGCGATAACGACGATGTTGAAAGCAACAGAGCCCACAAAAACAACAATAACAACAACCACAACAACAACAACAACAACCAAAACAACATCAACAACAACAACAACTTCTACTACCACTACTACATTACTACTACTTCTACTACTACCACTACTACTACTTCTACTACTACTACCACTACTACTACAATTACTACTACTACTACTTCTACTACTTCTACTACTACTACTACTACTATAATTTCTACTACTACTACCACAACTTTTACTACTACTACCACCACTACTACGTACAAACAAACACACACGCCTACAATCAAACATACAAACAAACATACAAACACACAGACACATACAAACAAACAGACGTACAAACATACACACACATACAAACAAACAGACATACAAACACACACACACACACACATACAAACAAACATATAGTCTTTCGTTAACGAGCTTCAAGTTGGTACGTAGACAGTCATAAAATTGCCATTGTTATAAAATTACAAAAATCCCGGCGCTAATACCGTTATTATTATTATTATTTTTACTAATACGACAACATATGAAAATTAAACAGCAGTAGTTAAACAATCAGTAATCGTAGTAGTAGTAGCAGTAGCAGCAGCAGCAGTAGTAACGTCAGGAGCGTCAGCAGAAGCACCAGCAGTTGTAGTAGTAGCAGTAGTAGTCATAGCGGTAGTAGCAGTAGTGGTAGTGACAGTAGCAGCAGTAGTAGTGCTAGGGTAGTAGCAGTAGTAGTAGCAGCAGTAGTAGTAGTAGCAGCGGCAGCAGTAGTAGTAGTAGTAGTAGTAGTAGTGGCGGTACAAAAGATTGTGCTGGTAATAGTTGTTTGCGGCTAAGCCCTGTTTCATTAAAAATCAAATCCCTCGGATCAAAGGGTGTGCTGGGGAAGGAACGACTGAGGGTACAGAAATGGATGAATGAATGAATAAATGGATGAATAGATGGATGAATGAGTGAATGGATGAATGAACGAATAAACGAAATAATGTTGGTTTGTTTTAATAGATTTATCATACTCACCAATAAATAGGTGGATAAATGAATGTAGAAATGAATAAGTGAATGAATGAAAGAAAAAAAGAAAGAATGAATAAATGAATGAATGAATGGATAAATGAATGAATGAATAAATGAATGAAAAATGGATGAATAGATTATGTATCAGCTATAAATTGATGAAGATAGAGATATTGTAGCAAAGATAAATTGATGAATCAATGAAGGCATCGGTCAACAAATGGTCGTATTGATAAATATGTTAGGAAATTATATAATTTATTTTTTTATTCATTTATCTATTCGGTCATTCGTTCGTTCGTTTGTTCGTTCGCTCGTTCGTTCATTCGTAAGTTCGTTCTTTCATTCGCTTGTTGGTTCATTTGTTATGTTCATTTGTTCATCTATTAATTCGTCCATTAATTTATTAGTTCATTCACGTGCTCACTCAATCATTCACACATATTTGAATGAATGAATGAATAAATGAATGAATGAATAAATGAATGAATGAACAAATGAATGAATGAATAAATGAATGAATGAACAAATGAATAAACAGACAAACGAAAAATGAATGACAGAACGATTGAATGAATAAAATATAAATGAATGAATGAATGAATGAATGTCGATAAAAAAAATTTCCATTTAGATGCGAAGTTGTTATTTTTTATTTAACGTTCCAAAACAACCAAACAAACATACAACCCCACACACACACACACACACAAGCACACACACACACAAACACAAACAAACACACCCATTGTCCTTAAATGTATATTTATAGAAAAAATATAATTGTAATAAACACATGTGCAATGGGTTTAATACATTTATTTAAAACTTTTTGGTTATATACAGTTTTATAACGGTAAAAATAGAAATATGTAAATATGTACACAAACACACACATACAAACACACACATACATATACACATGTACATACACAACACATACTTGAACACATACACACGCACACGTTCACACATTGATGCTGGTGTATGCTTACATATTTATACGCACACCTATTGCTTACATTCCTATTTTAAACGATGAAAAATTTTTAGATAAAGAAAGAGACACGGAAAAAGGAAAGTGACAGAGAGAGAAAGAGAGAATAAGAGAGGGAAAGAAAGAGAGGGGGGAAAGAGAAAGAGGAAAGAAAAAATGTATTCACTAAATTATTCATTTATAAAAAATCGAAATAAAAAGTCAAATGAAAAGTCGAAAAAATGTAAAAAAATTGAATGAGATTAGTTAGTGGATGAGCAAAATACGACGAACAAATGAACAAACAAACAAACGAACGAACGAACAAACAAATGAAAAAACAAACGAAAGAATGAAAGAAGATATGAGTGGATGAATAAAATATGATGACGTAACAATCGCTCTTATCCGGGCGCAACATACACATGGTCGCCCTTATTGAATGCCGCTTTTCCATTTTTTTCACAGTTTATGTATACACACGCGCGCACACACACGCACACACACACACACATACTTACAGATACAAAAACACACACACGTTAATATACACATATATCCACAACACACACATACATACTTATACATACAAACACACAGACGTAAATACACACATATATCCACACACGCACACACACAGACAAACATACATATATGCTCACGCCCGCACACACACATACATACATACTCAGGCCAATTATCTACATTCACGCAGGGACCCTAGGAATATTTAAAGTCGTATATCTTACTTATTTATTTCTTTCTCTCTCTCTCCCTCTCTCTC